TCCTCCTGGGAATAAAGCCCTTTGACTGGGAGCTAGGGGAAAAGGAAGCCCTGTTTTCTTGGCTGGAACTGTGTAAGGTAGAGTCTTTGCCTTACTGAGATGGAATGAAGGAGGGGGAGTAGTCTTGATTCATATACCACAGACTCACCTTTCTTAAAAAATTTTTATAGATTTTCTTGAATAGATATTTCTTTGCTTGCTGTTTGCCCTTAGGACTATTTCCAGAGGCTTTAATTGTTGTGGATTTTCTTTTCATAATTTTCACCTGTTTCACTGGAGAGTGGGTCAGCAGATCTCATTGCTCTATTGTGATAAAAGTTCATTCCCCTGTGCTTGTTTTTTTTGGAGGGGCATTTTTTTTTGCTGAGGAAGATTCTCCCTGAGCTACTCCCTGAGCTAACATCTGTTGCCTATCTTCTTCTTTTTGCTTGAGGAAGATTAACCCTGAGCTAACATTGGTGTCAATCTTCCTCTGTTTTGTACGTGGATGGCTGCTACAGCACGGCTGCTGACAAGCGGTGTAGGTTCATGCCTGAGAACTGAACCCATAAACCCAGGCTGCCAAAGCAGACCATGCCAAACTTAACAACTAGGCCATGGGGCTGGCCCCTAGGTTTCACCTTTTTTTGTAGATGAGTAGTATTCCATTGTGTGTATATACCACATCTTTGTCCATTCGTCCGTTGATGGGCACTTAAGTTGTTTCCAAGTCTTGGATATTGTGACTAATGCCACAGTAAATATAGGGGTGCATATATCTTTACACATTCGTGTTTTCATGTTCTTTGAATCAATACCCAGCAGTGGAATACCTGGATCATATGGTAATTCTATTTTTAATTTTTTGAGGAATCTCCATACTGTCTTCCATAGTGGCAGCACCAGTCTGCATTCCTACCAGCAGTGTGTAAGAGTTCCCTTTTCTCCACGTCCTCTCCAATGTTTATTTCTTGTCTTGTTAATTATAGCCATTCTGACAGGCATGAGGTGATATCTCATTGTAGTTTTGGTTTGTATTTCCCTAATAATGAGTGATGTTGAACATCTTTTCATGTGTCTGTTGGCCATCTGTATATCTTCTTTGGAAAAACATTTGTTCAGATCCTTTGCCCACTTTTTAATTGGGTTGTTTGTTTTTTGTTGTTGTTGAGTTGTCTGAATTCTTTATATATTTTGGATATTAATCTCTTATCAGATATATGATTTGCAAATATCTTTTCCCAATTATTAGGCTGTCTTTTTGTTTTGTTGGTGGTTTCCTTTGCTGTGCAGAAGGTTTTTAGTTTAGTGTAGTCCTGTTTGTTTATTTTTTCTTTTGTTTCTCTTGCCTGGGGAGACGTGGTAGTCAAAAAGATACTGCTAAGACTATTGTCAAAGAGCTCACTGCCTATGTTTTCTTCTAGGAGTTTTATGGTTTCAAGTCTTACGTACAAGTCTTTGATCCATTTTGAGTTCATTTTTGTGTATGGTGTAAGATAGTGTTCTACTTTCATTCTTTTGCACGTGGCTGTCCAATTTTCCCAACACCATTTATTGAAGTGACTTTCCTTTCTCCATTGTATGTTCTTGGCTCCCTTGTTGAAAATTAGCTGTCCATAGATGTGTGGGTTTGTTTCTAGGCTCTCGATTCTGTTCCATTGATCTATGTGTCTGTTTTTGTGCCAGTACCATGCTGTTTTGATTACTATAGCTTAGTAGTATATTTTGAAATCAGAGAGTGTGATACCTCCAGCTTTGTTCTTTTTTCTCAGGATTCCTTTGGCTATTTGGGGTCTTTTGTTGTGTCACATAAGTTTTAGTATTCTTTGTTCTATTTCTGTGAGAAATGTCATTGGAACTTTGCTAGGGATTGCATTGAATCTGTAGATTGCTTTAGGAAATATGGATGTTTCCATTTATTTGCTTTGTCTTTGATTTCTTTCAACAATGTTTTATAGTTTTCAGTATACAGGTCTTTCACCTCTTTAGTTAAATTTTTTTTGTTTTTTTGTTTGTTTGTTTGTTTTAGGAAGATTAGCCCTGAGCTAACTACTGCCAATCCTCCTCTTTTTGCTGAGAAAGACTGGCCCTGAGCTCACATCCATGCCCATCTTCTTCTATTTATATGTGGGACGCCTACCACAGCATGGCGTGCCAAGCAGTGCCATGTCCGTACCCGGGATCCAAACCAGCGAACCCCAGGCTGCCGAGAAGCAGAAAGTGCAAACTTAACCTCTGCGCCACCAGGCTGGCCCCTCTTTAGTTAAATTTATTAGTTAAATTTAGTTAAATTTATTCCTAGCTATTTTATTCTTTTTGTTGCAATTGTAAATGGGATTATATTTTTGATTTCTCTTTCTTCTATTTTGTTGTTAGTGTATAGAAATGCAACTGATTTTCGTATGTTGATTTTGTGCCCTGCAACTTTACCATATTCGTTTATTATTTCTAAGTTTTTTGTTGGGTTCTTTAGGGTTTTCTGTATATAAATCATGTCATCTGCAAATAGTGACAGTTTTACTTCTTCCTGTCCAATTTTTACCCCTTTAACTTCTTTTTCTTGCCTAATTACTCTGGCTAGGACTTCCAATACTGTGTTAAATAAGAGTGACAAAAGTGGGCATGCTTGTCTGGTTCCTGTTCTTAGAGGGATAGCTTTCAGTTTTTCACTGTTGAGTATCACATTGATTGAGTTGTGGATGTTGAACCATCCCTGCATCTTTGGAATAAACTCCATTTGATCATAGTGTATGATCTTTTTAGTGTATTGTTGTATTCAATTTGCTAATATTTTTTTGAGGCTTTTTCCATCTCTGTTCAGTAGTGATATTGGCCTATAATGTTCTTTTTCTGTGTTCTCCTCGTCTGGTTTTGATATCAGGGTAATATTGGCCTCATATAATGATTTAGGAAGCATCCCCTTCTCTTCAGTTTTTTGGAAGAGTTTGAGAAGGATAGGTGTTAATTCTTCTTTGAATGTTTGGTAGAATTCACCAGGGAAGCTGTCTGATCCTGGACTTTTAGTTTTTTGGGAGGTTTTTGATGATTGTTTTGATCTCTTTACTAATGATTGGATTATTGAGTTTCTCTGTTTCTTCTTGATTCAGTTTTGGGAGATTGTATGAGTCTAAGAATTTATCCATTTCTTCTAGATTATCCAATTTGTTGGCATATAGCTTCTCATAGTATTCTCTTAAAATCCTTTGTATTTCTTTTTTAAGATTGGCGCTGAGCTAACATATGTTGCCAATCTTCCTCTTTTTTTTTTTTTTTCCTTCTTCCCAAAGACCCTCAGTACATAGTTGTATATTCTAGTTGTAGGTCCTTCTAGTTCTGCTATGTGGGATGCTGCCCCAGCATGGCTTGATGAGTGGTGATAGGTCCTGTGCTGAGAATCCAAACTGATGAAACCCTGGGCCGCTGAAGTAGAGTGCACAAACTTAACCACTCGGCCACGGGCCTGACCCCTATCCTTTGTATTTCTGTGGTGTCTGTTGTAATTTCTCCTCCTTCATTTCTGATTTTATCTATTTCTCTCTACTTCTTGTGCCACCCAAACCCCAGGTGAACTCAAGCCTTCTCTCTTATTTTCTTGATCAGTCTGGCTAAGGGTTTGCCAATTTTTTTTGTCTTTTGAAAGAACCAGTTCTTAGTTTCATTGATCTTTTCTAGTGTCTTTTTCATCTGTATTTCATTTCTTTCTGCTCTGAGTTTTCTTCTTTTTTTTCATTGGAGTAACATTGGTTTATAACATTATATAAATTTCGGTGTACATCATTACATATTGATTTCTGTATAGATCACATCATGTTACCCAAAGGAGTGAAAGACCTGTACACTGAAAACTATAAAACATTGTTGAAAGAAATAGAAGAAGACACAAAATGGAAAGATATTCCATGCTCTTGGATTGGAAGAATTAACATAGTTAAAATGTCCATACTTCCTAAAGTAATCTACAGATTCAATGCAATCCCTAGCAAAGTTCCAAGGACATTTCTCACAGAAATAGAACAAAGAATCTTAAAATTTATGTGGAACAACAAAAGACCCCAAATAGCCAAAGGAATCCTGAGAAAAAAGAACAAAGCTGGAGGTATCATACTCCCTGATTTCAAAATATACTACTAAGCTATAGTAATCAAAACAGCATGGTACTGGCACAAAAACAGACACATAGATCAATGGAACAGAATCGAGAGCCTAGAAACAAACCCACACATCTATGGACAGCTAATTTTCAACAAGGGAGCCAAGAACATACAATGGAGAAAGGAAAGTCTCTTCAATAAACGGTGTTGGGAAAATTGGACAGCCACGAGCAAAAGAATGAAAGTAGACCACTATCTTACACCATACACAAAATTTAACTCAAAATGGATTAACAACTTGAATGTAAGACCTGAAACCATGAAACTTCTAGAAGGAAACATAGGCAGTATGCTCTTCAGCGTTCTTCTTAGCAGCATATTTTCAATTACCATGTCTGACAGGGCAAGGGAAACAATCAAAAAAATAAACAAATGGGACTACATCTGCTCTGATTTTTATTATTTCCTTCCTTCTGCTAATTTTGGGCTTCATTTGTTCTTCTTTTTATAGTTCCTTTGGGTGTATTGTTTGATTGTTTATTTGAGATTTTTCTTGTCTTTTGAGGTTGGCCTGTATTGCTATAAACTTCCCTCTTAGTACTGCCTATGCTGTATTCCATAAATTTTGGTATGTCATATTTTCATTTTCATTTGTCTCCAGGTATTTTTTGATTTCTCCTTTTATTTATTCATTGACCCAATAGTTGTTCTCATATAATTTAAGTATAACCTATTTAATGTTATTAATAAAATGTGGTAATATTTAATATATATCCTAAAGTTGGTATATGATATTATAGTGAAAATTTGTAAGTAATACCACTTAACCATTCTTTTTTCTTTGCCGTTAACTTTATTTTGAAAGTTTTTTTAGAAAAGGTATTTTATGTATTTCCCCATGAAAAAGTGATTTATTCCTGTCTGTTTCAGACCTGTGGATATCTGGGCTTTGGGCTGTATGATCATTGAGATGGCCACTGGAAATCCCTATCTTCCTAGCAGCTCTGATTTGGATTTACTTCATAAAATTGTTTTAAAAGTAGGTAGGTATTACTGAAATATATTGTTAAATGCCTAAAATAAATATTGCCAGATCGATTCTGCTTGATTTTCAAATTTAGTTTTTTCTTTATAAGAACAAGGAAGCATATTGTTTTGGTAGATGGCAGCAGATGGATGCCTTGGGCTGATAAAGAAGGTAGAAAATTCTCCTCTGTTTTTGCAAATAATATTTTCTCTGCCAGGATGCAAATAGCTAAGCCATATGTTGGTGGTTGATAGTAAGAAAAATAATACAATAGGAACGTACTTCAATTTGTTTGAAAGTTATCTTAAAATTTTGGTTTGTACAAATATTTGCATGTCTCAAAGAGGACTTTTAAACAGTAGAGTTGATTTAAATGCTTTTTTAAAGCACTTGGAGATAGAAAATCAATTACCTACTGAGAAGACTTTTTTTTTAAAACCACAGTAGATAATCAGATAGCTAAATAACATATTCAGAAAATATGTGATGAGAGCTGAATTATTTGATATCTGCTTTGACTAAAACATTTTTATGGCTAGCCTTGTTCATGGAGTTTTAATGATTTGTTTTTTTAAAAAATGTATTTCTGAATGTGGAGCTTGAGGAGCCCGTTTTATGGTGGGGAAGCTATACATAAACATGTAATTACAGGATCATGAGGAAGGTACTGTGAATAGCTATAAAAACCGTGAAATCTGGATAAGTATTCATTATAGATGCAGTTCAGAACCTTAAAGCATCACATTTTTTTGTGTGTCATCTTTAAAGTTCTGGTTATAAGATTAATGTTAGAAGGAACCTTAGAGATGATGGCATCAATTCTGTCATTTTACAGATGAAGGAACAAAGGCATAGAAAAGGAAGAGATTTGCTCAAGGTCACGGAACTAGTTATAGCAAAACTGGCGCTAGAACTTAGCTCTCTCCTCTCCTATTTATAGTTCTTTCCATTCTGCTAATACTCTAGAGCCTTTTTTCTTCTTTGCAAATTTCTACTTCTAAAGTAATTTAATATTTTCGCTGTTTTGAGTAAGGCTTTGCTGATGAACGCTTGATAGTTAAACCATTTAGTTACCCATATGGAAATATATAAAAGTTTGAATGTGCTTTTCCTGGTAGCATTAAATATGATGTCTTATATTTGGAGAAAAGAAAATGAATCTGATGGTTTTATATTCTCTGCTGACTATGTGCTATCATTACTGGGGAAACTTCAATTTTTTATGCTATATTCAGAAAGTTTCTTGTTCAATTTAAAAAAATTAAAAGAAAATAATTATTTTCTCTTTTTACTAATTTAAGGCAGACCACATAGCAATTTGACTAGTTTGATTTTAGACTAATTTCCCTGCTTTCTTATATACACATTTTTTCTCTTTTCAGGCAATTTGACACCTCATTTGCAGAATATCTTTTCCAATAATCCCATTTTTGCTGGAGTGGTCCTTCCTCAAGTTCAACACCCCAAAAATGCAAGGAAAAAATATCCAAAGCTAAATGGATTGTTGGCAGATATAGTTCATGTATGTTAAGAGATTAAGGACTTATTTATGGGAAATTCACATAAATTACAATACAATTTTAGGATATTACTTGAATGAAATTCCAGAAGGATTTGTAAAGTAAAGTTATCAGTTGATAGTTACTATATTTCTCTGTCTTTATGTCTTTAGTTCAGAAAAATTAAAATTCATAGACTGTTAGAACTGAAAATCCCCCAGGATAATCTTGTTCATTATTTTTAGTTTGTCCCAATTTTAATGATAATTAGGGTTAAACTGGAAAAATTTTAAGGACTTACCATGTTTATCACCACCTTTTAATAGCCAGTCTACCCAAGTCAGGGATCTGTTCCTTGCACAGTGGATCCTAAGGTATCTACAGGGCATTGGCAGCTGCAGTTTTATTGTTGTTTGAAGATACACCAGTGCCACAATTCACCTTGAATTGGAGAAAATAAAAACATTATATGGTGCTTTTTAATTATTTTAAAATTTAAATTTCATTTCAAACTAGGTAATAAATATACCAACATACTTAGTACAAAATTCAAAACTTAAGAGAGTTTACTGTGAAAAGTAAATCTGCTTCTATTTATTTTCTCTATTCAGCCAATTTCCTTTCCCAGGGTTAACTAAGTTATCTAATTTCTAATGAGCAGCCCTTAAAGAAAAAAAAATGCCTACCTAAATTTCAAAGCAAGTATAGTGTTTATAAGAATGGGCTCTGGAATCACATAGGCTATGTTTAAAACCCAGCTCTGTCACTAATTACCTCTGTAACCTTGAGCAAGTCACATATTCTCTGTCCCTCAGTTTACTGGGCTAAGACGACATTAACAGTCTTTATTTTCTGGGGCTGCAGAATTAAATGAGGCAGTGGTAGAAATGTTCTTAGCACAGGGCCTTGAGTAAGCTGTCAGCAAATGTTGTTAATGTTAATTATTGTTGCTGTTATTTAGATAAACCTAATCATATGATATTTAACATCTATAGACTATTCTTGAAGGAAAAAAATTATTTCATTGGTACCTGGAGAGAACTAGAATTTATTAAGAATCAGATTTGTTTACTACATTTTCAGTTTAATTTCTTTTTTTATTTCATAGTTTTAATTATACAAAGAATACATAATGATTATAGAAAAAGTAGAAAATACATGACAAACAAAAAGGAGAAGTTAAGATTTTCCCAACTCCCACAATCCAGAAAAAAATTACTATTAACATTTTGGTTTATCCTTCTAGACTTTTCCTAACCAAATATGTGCATAAAAATTTATGTTGTTTAAAAAGTGTCATACTTTACACACTGTTGTGTAACCTGTTTATTTTCACTTAGTGCTATATTATACACATACTACCATGTCAATAAATATGAAACTACATCACTATTTTCAATAGTTGCATAGTATTTCACTGTATGATTATACTATAGTTTATTTAACTAATTTTGCAATTTTAGACATTTGCTTTCAGGTTTTTTTCCCTCACTATTGTTAATGATGCTACAGTGAAGATCTTTTATATATGTCTTTATGAACTTGTTTTAGTATTTGCTTAGGATAAATTCATAGAAGTGTGATTAGTGGGCCAAAATGTTTACACTTTTTACAAATTTCAATGTATTCTGCAATTTTTCCTCCAGAAAAGTTTCACAGATTTATACTCAAGAACTCTCAAGTAGCATAGCATTTAAATTCTCAATCTCAATCTAGCATTGAATATTATAATTTTAAAAATATTTGCCAATGTAATAAGCTAGAAATAGTATCTCTTTTTCTTTTTTCTTTTTTTTTAGTGCGGAAGATTGTCCTTGAACTAACACCCATTGCCAATCTTCCTCTTTTTGCTTGAGGAAGAATGGCCCTGAGCTAACATCTGTACCAATCCTCCTCTATTTTGTATGAGGGACACCTCCACAGCATGGCTTGATGAGTAGGAGTAGGTCCGCACCCAACATCTGAACCTGTGAACCCTGGGCCACCAAAGCAGAGTATGCAAACTTAACCACTACGCCACTGGGTTGGCCCCAATAGTATCTTTTTTAAAATTACACTTACATCATTACAGGAAAGGTTGTAAATTTTACTAATATTAATTGGTCATTTGTATTTTTTGAGTCCTTAACCTATTTGTCAGTTAAGTATTTTTTCATGTTGATTTGTAAAATAATAAGCATATTAGCCTTTTGTCTTATATGTTATAAATACTTTTTTTCAACTTGAATAATCCAATGGTTTGTAAAGCCACATTAATCATAAACAAAATCCTTTACTTGCTTGAGTCTGTTTATATTTCATTGATTTCTCTCTTTATTCTAGTATAAGTACCATTTTGATTGATTATTGTAACTTTAAAATACATCTTAATATCTAGGGTAGAGCATGTATTTTTTCCCTAGATTTAAATTTTCTAGGGGCTGGTCCCATGGCATAGTGGTTGAGTTCAGCACATTCCACTTTGGCATCCTGGGATGGCGGGTTAGGATTCCAGATGGGGACCTACAGCATTGTCAGCCATGCTGTGGTGGCAACCCATGTACAAAATAGAGGAAGATTGGTGCAGATGTTAGCTCAGGGTGAATCTTCCTCAGTAAAAAAAAAAAGTTCTTAGCAACTTTATCATGATTTATGTACAATAAACTACACATACTTAAAATGTGCAATTTGATGAGTTTTGATAGATGTATTCACCTGTGAAACCACCACCACAATCAGGATACCTAACATTTCCATCACTCCCCTGAATGTTCTCATGTCCTTTTGCAATCCCTCTTTCCTTCATTCCTGTCCCCAAACAACCACTGATTTGCTTTCTGTCACTGTAGATTAGTCTACATTTTCTAGAATTGTGTATAAGTGGAATCACACAGTATGTACTCTTTTATGTCTGGCTTCTTTAACTCAGCTTTATGGTTTAGAAATTGATTCATGTTTTTGCTGGTATCAGTAGTTTGTTCCTTTTTATTGCTGAGTATCCATTATATGGATATATCACAATTTTTTAAATCTATTCCCCTGTTTTGAGTTGTTTCCCTTTTATGGCTATTACATATAAATTGCTATGAACATTCATGTGCAAGTCTTTATATAGATGTATATTTTCATTTCTCTTGAGTAAAAATCTAAGAGTGGAATGGTGGGTTTAAGATGTGTGTATGTTTAATTTTTAAAGAAACTACCAGTCTCTTTCTCAAATATCATATTTTACATTTTCCAAACCAGGGCATGTATTTAAAGTTTCTGAATTATATTATTCACAGAAGGACTAATTTGTCTGCTTTGAATAGGCTATGACTTGTGCGGAACTTTTATCGCTTTTCTTATTAAGTTTTATTGATGGATTACTATTATGTTCTAAGATAAGCACATATTTTTGGCTAGTTGCAGTTTTAAGGATCTGGGTATTCTTACATCATAAAGTAGATAATGGACTCAATTTCACTTTGTGAGTCATTTTATTTTTATTGTGGTAAAAAACGCATAACATGAAATCTATCCTCTTACCAAATTTTAAAATGTATAGTACAGTATTGTTAACTATATTCATATTGCTGTAAAGCAGAGCTCTACATCTTTTTCTGTGAATCAGTTTAAACATCTACATTTTGAAATAAACAAAAGTGTAATATTATATGCAATTACCTTGGATTTTCTGGACTTAAATTTTAGCTCTTCTATTTATGAGATCTTAGACAAATTATTTGACCTCTCTGGGCCTCAGTCTTCTCATCTGTACAATGGGGATAATAATAATACCTACCTTATAGGGTTGTTCTTGGGATCCAATAATAGGAAAAGGCTAGGGGCTGGCCCCATGGCTGAGTCGTTAAGTTCATGCGCTCCGCTTCGGCAGCCCAGGGTTTCCCCAGTTCAGATCCTGGGCACGGACATGGCACCACTCATCAGGCCAGGCTGATGCAGCATCCCACATGCCACAACCAGAAGGACCTACAACTAGAATGTACGTCTGTGTACTTGGGGGGGTTTGCGGAGAGGAAGAAGATTGGCAACAGATGTAGCTCAGGTGCCAATCTTTAAAAAAAAATAAATAAATAAATAGGAAAAGGCTAGAATAGAGTGTTGTGTGGCACACAGTAAGCGTCAATAAAAGTTACCTTTTATTACTATGTTTTGCCTTCTTTTTAGAGAAAGAAAGAGAGTTATATAGTAAATGGCTTTTATTCAGATTCTATCTTTCATATTTTGATTAAAGAAATGTTTTCTATTTATAATTGTAGTTATTTAATTACATATAGATTCATTATGTGCAACTTATTATCCAAAACTCTTTCTTCCATTGACTGTTTTTATTTTGTGGGTTTTTTTGTGTTGCTTCTCTACTCAGTTGAAGTACTCCTAAGGTAGGGAAACAGAAAAGAGGCATTCTTTTTTTTTTTTTTGAGGAAAGTTAGCCCTGAGCTAACATCTTCTGCCAATCCTCCTCTTTTTGCTGGGGAAGACTGGCCCTGAGCTAACATCCATGCCCATCTTTCTCCACTTTATATGTGGGACGCCTACCACGGCATTACTTGACAAGCCCTACCAGTCTGCACCCGGGATCCGAACCAGCAAACCCTGGGCTGCCAAAGGGGAACGTGCAAACTTAACCACTGTGCTACCAGGTCAGCCCTGAAAGAGGCATTCTAATAATGGATTATTGAAAGATTTGGGGGCTTGAATATTTGTGAAATTGTATTATGCCATAGAAAGAGTGTTAGATTAGTAATCAGAATATGAGTTAAAATTCTATTTTGGCAAATCACTAATCATGCTTCTAGCTCTGTAAAATGGAAATGATAATCTATGAACTTTCTGCCCTACAGTGCTGATAAGAGGATCAAAATGAGCTAATTAATTTTTGCTAATTCCATCAGAAACAAATTGACTTCTGTTTTGGCTAGAATCATAGGACATTTAACCTGTCATAATGCTTTACAAGTACAAATTTCTTAGGGAAATAATTGCTCAGAATTCATTGTCAGAAATGCCTGAGGTCTAATTTAATCTTTTCAAGAAGTTTTTTAGTTCTGGGTACTTAATTACTTCTACATTTCTCGCATTGCTTTAATTTTTACTTTATGGAGCCCTGTTAAGAGCTTACTTAACATTAGAATCTTTTTTCATTGTCTAGGCTTGTTTACAAATTGATCCTGCTGAGAGGATATCGTCTACTGAACTTTTGCATCATGAGTATTTTACAAGAGATGGATTTGTTGAAAAGTAAGCATTTTCAGTGAGTGTGGAATTTCTAGTGTTTTGTATTAGGAAATTTTACTAGCATGAGAATTGCTACATAGGTTAATGTTACACAACAGAAAAATTCAATTTAACAAAAACATACTGATTTCCTGTATTGAGTAAGTATATGGTAGACTTACAGGTGTCATGATGAAAATTCTAATAATAAAAATAATTACTGTTAACATTTAGTACACAGTTACTATGTCCTAGGCAGTGTGCCAAGTTCTTTACACACATTTTCAATGGTCATTCTAGGTCAGAGATAACATTAAATAATCATTACTTTTTAGCTTTATTCCTATTTGGACCTCTAACTAATAATAGTCTGGTTTTTCCTTCTCTGATGGTATCTCAGATTTATATATTAAAATTAGCATTCATTTCCCAAATGATTTTTTCTCCGCTTTACTTATTCTCTGTTGCAATGCCTATTGTCTTATTCTCCCCACAAAATTGGAAGTTCCCTGAAGACAGGGACCATGCCTCTTAAAGCCTTTCTATGTTCCATATTGTATATATAATAAATAATGACAGTGTAGATTCATAAATCAGCCATACTTCTAAAAAAGCCACCATTTTCTATTTGGGCTTTGAAAGAAACAGGAAAAGTTTCTTATTAATGACAAAACCATTCACTTGGCCTTTGGATGTGAGGTCAGAAAGATGCACGTCAATTAAAAATGTGATGGAGTAAACTCAGTCATGGAAAAGTCCAGGAATACCATTGAAGATAGATAGACTAAAACAGAAAAAGGCAAAGAAAAGAGAATCCTTGTGAGTAACTAGAACTTCAGGCATTTGAGGAATTCTAATCTATAACAAAGAATGAGGAGAAGATGTATTGAGAGTGCCAATGATGAAAAGTGCCAGTTGTTGAATAAAAAAAGTTGCTTCCTATCATTTCTACATAGACCAAGTTGATTTCTATTGGGTATTTAGATATTAGAATTTTACTATTGTGGGGTGAAAGTTCTTGAGTTCCAATTATCATACCTTCAGAAAATGTTTGGGCAAGACCTTTTCCTTGGATAAGAGGCCTCTTCCTTGCATGGACCTTCTGCAATGCAAGGGAGTTTTAGCACAAGTGTGACATGTTCTCATTTAGCCAAACTAACAGTTTGCCTGTATCTAAATAGCACTGGTTATTTTCTTCATCTCGTTGCACTACCCTTTACTAGACATGTACCGTACACAGCACTGGCAAGACTGGGCTGAACTAGGGAAGAATTTGTTCATGGACTGATACTTTAAAACTTCCCCAAACTGATAGCAGCGGTTGCTTCAAGAAGGGGAGCTGTGCAACTCAGGATCAGGGGTGGGAAGTAGACTTTTAAGTATAGCCTTTTGAATTTTGAGCCATGTGAATGGCTTTTCTATTGAAAAATAATTAGCGTTAAAAAAAATGTCAAACTAAAATCAGAACAATCTCCCTTTAATATTTGTGTTTTCCATTACATTTTGTACTGAAAATATTTCTCTAGAGAAAGATTAGAGAAACTAGTTAGTTCATCTTTTAAGTATCGTTACTTTAAAGAACCACAAAAAGGACAAAGTAGCCCGAGTCTTCCTTGGAAAGAATAGTATAGTCATCAAAATTAAAAGCAATTACTTTTATTGAGTAAAGTTTGCATCACACAAGGAAACTAATTCATGTTTGTCTGTTTTGTAAAAGTTTTATGTAGTAAATTCCCTTGGCAAAATTTTTGAAAGATGTATCTTTACCAGGAAGCAATTGATATTAGGTAAATATTGTGCTGTCTCTTGGTGTGCGTCATTGATGACTTATTTATGGTGTAGCTGAAATGTAAATTAATTGATTAAATGGTCAGTTAGAGATAAAATACTCTACATAAATAAAAGATCATTGGTTGATATTGCTTGTTTTATCAGATTCATACCGGAACTGAGAGCTAAATTACTACAAGAAGCAAAAGTCAATTCATTCATAAAGCCAAAAGAGAATTCTAAAGCAAATGAACTTATGAAAAATGAACGAAAAACAATTTATACCAATACATTGCTAAGTACTTCAGTTTTGGGAAAGGTAAAAACTGGTTTTCTTTTCAACCAGTATAACTATGTTGTAGTTAGCACTCTAATGATAAAAAATAACTGTTCTCCTGACTCAGATTTTGGGTATATCTATTCCAGGAAATGGAAAAAGAGAAAAAGCCCAAGGAGATCAAAGTCAGAGTTATTAAAGTCAAAGGAGGAAAAGGAGATATCTTAGAATCGAAAAAGATGGAGTGTGAAGGTAGACATTGTCAGCAGGAGGCAACTGAAAATGCTCATACCATGTCTCAAGATGCAAACCCTATAATCAATGAATCACCAAACCCTGTCAATCCCAGCACTAACTCTAACGGCATGAAAGACAGTCCACATGCTGGAGGTAGTATGATGATGCCACCCATCAATTTAACTAGCAGTAATTTGATGGCTTTAAATACCAATTCAAAACTTTCCCACTCCAATTCAAGGTGAGTTCTAACAGAAAAGAGACTTAAGGAAATGGACCTAAGTAATACAAGGTTACTATATAATGGTGTTTCAAAGAATCAAGTTCATAGTGTCTGTATATAAACTGAATTTGAAGATATATTAAAATTATAACATATAATGGGCCATTACTGAGCGCTTCTTATGAATGCTATAGAAGAAATGAACTTTTCTTAGCTATATATATATGCTTAATTTTTCACTAATACCTTTTGGAAAAACCTCATTAAAAAAAAAAAGATCCTCAGAAAAATTTCTTCCCATTTGAAGAGAAGAAAGGTGATATGACTTAAGTTCTGGTAATGATGTGCCTTGGTATAACAAAATAAGCTTTATTTCTGTATTGTAGCGAATTTTCTACGTGGAGAAAGGATAGTTGAAAATAATCTTTTATAATCAAATAGCCTTTCAAGGTCAAATATTTGGGGAGAAAAACAGTATATTGGGTCACTTTTAGATTTAGCTACTGATACAGATTGAGAGATTGGTACTATGAGTCTTGTTAATCAAGGGCAGTGTGATGGATGCCAAGGGTCTGTCTAGCAAGGCATCAGGACCAGTTCTAAATTTAGGGAAACCAGGAATGTAGATGAGGAGGGAGACTAGTTTCAATATCCCAAATTGATCCTAGCAGACTGGCTTGGGCTATAAGTTGTAAAGCTTGTGGTCTGCAGAGCTGGGCACATGGACATGTCTGTGTCAGTCCAAAGGTACAACAGGCTACAGACAGAAAGAGCCCAATAGTTCTTGAGGTGGCCCCAAAACCATAGTTACAATAACTGTGATTGTAAACCAGCCTTGGACAGCAAACTCAGAAATTCAGAAACCCAGTAGTTAAGAGATCCAGGATCAGAACAGAGAAAAGGGACCAAGTAGGTCAGCTGGAGTAATCCCAAACATGGTTGTCACCACTGATGTTAGCCATAAGTGCGTTGTTCTCTGCTCTGTTTTTACCTTTCTTCTTAGAGCAGTTGGCACGTAAGGACTGACAATTGCATTTTGGCACTCAGTGTTGGAACAGTAGGCTCCCCTGATATAATGTAGTCATTACTAAAGCTAAAAGAAGCACTTCTGGGGAGTTCTAATAACTTCTCATTCATTTTTAAATAATAGGTCAACTGAAAGAGCGAAAAAGAGACGCACGTCTTTACAGTCTATTGGACAAGTTGTGTCTAATAGCAGGCAAGAGGATACAGGTTCCACTCAAGTAAGGCAAGAAGCTAGTCATTAAAATATGCCCTCCTTCAACCTTATCCCCCCAAACCCTGGTCCTTTTCTCCATCTTTGGGCCTTGAACATTTTAAAAAGATGTGCCTTGGGGCCAGCCCGGTGGCACAGCCGTTAAGTGCGCACGTTCCGCTTCCGTGGCCTGGGATTCGCTGGTTCGGATCCCGGGTGTGGACATGGCACTGCTTGGCAAGCCATGCTGTGGTAAGCATCCCACATATATAATAGAGGAAGATGGTCACAGACTTTAGCTCAGGGCCAGTCTTTCTCAGCAAAAAGAGGAGGATTGGCAGCAGATGTTAGCTCAGGGCTAGTCTTCCTAAAAAAAAAAACGAATGCTTTTAGTTTCCTTTTTCTTTGGCTGAGATGAAAACAGGCCATCATTTCCTTAGTGCTTTCACAATTTTAGTTAACTTCTTGTGACTGGATTTGAATATTTAATAAGTTTGACTTAGGGGGGAAAAAGTCAAGCTTTTCACCTTTAAAAGATACATGACTTTTTGGTTTTTCACTTCCAAAAAATGTTTTTAGTATCTTACTTTATAGATTAAAAGCAGTTGCCAAATAGATACATCTTCCTTTTCACTAGAAAAAATGATCAGTATAGTTCATTCTCTCATTTTTTACATAGGAAAGTAGCTTATTCAAAATTGAAGCACAGTGTTATTTATAATGAAAAATGAAAAACAACACAAATCCATCCAAGAGCAAGTGGCTGATCAAGTACATTAGAGTACATCCACACAGTGGGATCCCACACTGTGGGATTACACTGTGGAAAAGTGTTCATTAACCTAGGAAAGTTTTTATCATCTGTTATCAAATGAGCAAACAGGTAACACAAAAGGTTTTCCAGAATGCTGGACTCACAAATAATTTTTTTCCTTTAGGTTTTCCCAGTGTCCAGACCACATCATTTTGTAAATAAGAAAGTAAATTATTATTAAGATGAACTGAAGCAATTTGCCCAAAGCCAGAGCACAAGGAATAGGATTAAAATGAAAAGTTAAGGTTGTGGTTCTCATGATCAAGACGGTTATTCTCAGAATATTCAATATGCTAAAAAAAGTTTGCTTAATGAAACTTTTATCGGAGTTTGATCTGTTTACATGTTTAATGGTATTGTATTCTGCTTAATTATTAAAGTAATCTTGCAAAGATAGGCATTGTGATACCATCCAAATGGCTAGCAGTTCTAGGCTTGTCATTTAATAAATAGTTATACTTCTTTCTTTAAATTAACTCTTGTTTATTTGTTTGCTTAGAGCCAAATGGAGAAGGGCGTATTTAATGAGCAAATGGGTCAAAGTGACCAAATGGCAAATAGAAACAAAAGGAAGCTTAATTTTTCCAGATCTGACAGGAAAGAGTTCCATTTCCCAGAACTGCCTTTCACAATACATTCAAAGGAGATGAAAAGAATGGAAGGTACACATTTGTTGCATAGCTTTACAATCTCCAGATGTATGCTTTACAAGACCTTTTTTGGTAATTTAACATTTTATAATGTAATTTAGGTAGAAATAGTAAATTGCTACAAAAAATATTTTCAGCTGATGATAATTTTTTTCCATAGCCAAATAAGGGTTGAAACTTGAAGGAGATAATTTTAAAGAAGGGTTAAGAAAACTTTAAAAGGTAAATTTTCATTAACTCAATATTGTTGAAATGTTAGAGCAGTATTTGGGGAATTTGGTTTGAGTTCAGTATATGACCTAGAGTAAATCAATTTCCTATGATTTCTCCATGATTCTTTGCCTGTATAGTACTTCAGGCATCCACGGAGTTAGTAGATTAAGATTTAGAACATGTATTGAGCTCTTAAAATGACTTTTCTTTTTTTTAACAGAGTAAATGTTATGTTACTTTGAAGAACAGCGACACCTTGTGAAAAGTTAATATAATAGCAAGATTATAGTACTTGCACAGCTCAAGAGGAATTATCTGATCCACTTAACAGTTATACTCAGAATTAAAAAAATAAATGTCTTCTTTTAATACCTGGTAGACTATTTATAAATTTATAAAAGAAATCATTTATGATTGGCACATTTTACCGTTACAACTCAGGATTTGTTCAGTTCCGTTATGATAAACTGAGGAACTGACTTTAATGCATTTCAGAATTTCCATTTGAAACTCTTGAAAAGGAAAGTAAAGCTTCAAGGCAGGAATAACAAGTTGTCATTATTGTATATATTTTTGAAAAGTTAAACAGATAAAAGTGCTGAAGAGGGAATCGAAGAAAACAGATTCATCTAAAATACCAACTTTACTTAATGTGGATCAAAATCAAGAGAAACAAGAGGTAAAACTTTTTTTGTTTATAGCTGTTACTAAGGAATGCTGTTTAGAACTCTTGACTTGGTATGTAAATTTAGTTATTACTATTAGAAAGTTATATAAAAATTCTGTAGTGTTCAAACTTGAGAAACAGATCTATATTTTCCTAGGATAATCAATTACTGAAAGTTTTTAAATGTTATTTTTTTGGGGTGGTGAATACCAGCCCTCATTTGAATGTTGAGTGATTAGAATATACGGTGCCCAAGGAAAATAGTATGTATGTTATGTGTATTGTCTGCTATCATGCAGGTAAACTATGCCAGAGGAAATGAACGATGGTATAAACATACGGTTATACTGGCCACAAGAACATATGTGTTTGTCTTTAGACTCTTCCTTCCTGTTTTTTCTCCAATTCTCCCATCTCTACTGTCCACCTATACTGTCCTATTTTCACAAGGATTTGCTCTCAACTAGCTATCAGATGATCTTGTTGAAATGTCCCAGTCCCTACCCACCAGGGAGTCTTGAATTTTCTTTGGAAATCTTGAAGCCCTCAATACCCGAATGAAGGTACTCTTTTAAGGGAAGGGGATTGTGCTGAGCACCCCCTGAGTTAAATCACATAGATGGCCTTCTATTCTGCACTCTTGTGAGGTCATCGACTTTATCATCTGTTTCTTGTTTTTAAAATAAAATTGATTACATTTTAATTCATGATAAAATTAGCACATGTGAAGAAATTAGAAAAATAGAGAAATTTTTATCTGAAACTGTGTAAGAAGACATTTTAACTAATTCTATTCAATCTCTGCAACATTCAGATAAAAGAGTTATCAGACACTGTTAGATATATTTCACAGTGACATTTATGCTTTATTCTTGGTCTAGAACTTGTTAAGAACTCCACAATCCACTTGGCAGAAAAGAGATATTTTCTAGATAGAAAAAGAAAGCCATTATTAGTCATCTTCTAGTTCATTATAAAAACTAATAAGGTGGCTTTAAACTTTTAAACTTGGGTAACTTACTGATGTCACAGTATGTTGCACAGCATACCATTTGCACATTTTTTGAGTGATTGAGTGAGTTAGGGCTCGAGTTTGGGAGACTGGTGATGTGCTATATGTGTTTATCCTAGTGTCCTATGAAAGCCCCCAGAACTAAAATTACATCCAATGCAGGAAGAAAGGAACTCTTGGACTGTCTGTCTTAAGGAAAAGAGGAACTCTTTAAGGAAATTTTACCTTCTGTCATTTTTAAAATACATAAGTAAATAGGAAGGGAAAAATCACTTCTTGCTCATATGGTGTAGAACTCCTGAAAAGATGACCTTTTCAAGAGTGACCTTGAAACATTTGTAGTTATTAGAAATAACAGGTGGTCATCAATAATGGTTATAGTTTATTTGTACTGCCCATTCAAATGCAGTTCTGACAAGTGACTGAAATTGCATATAAGGCTAGTCTAAACACTTTTAATAAATTCATGTCAGAAGTAAGAAAATTTCCTAAATTTTGAGTTGGTAGTTTATTTTAGAACACAAGAGAATATGACATGTTTTTAAAAACATAAGAGAGAGACTACAAACTTATTTGGCTCTGCCATTGACTTGTTTTTGAATTGCCTAATCAGATCCAGGTATTTCCCAGTTGCACATTAAAATTTCAGGCATCTTAAATGCATAGTGAAATAGTGTGCATTTAGTGTTCATGATAAGCATGAAACATGGGTTGGGTTCCACACTGAACAATGTGGAACACCATTTAAACATATCATGAAGATCGTTTATAAAAGGATGGAAATAGTGTGTACGTGCATTGAATAGACTCTATAACCTAGAAACTCTAAATTACTCTAATGAATGAGTTAGGAAAGAGAGAAGAGAATCTATACAGAAGCCACCTTCAATTCTACTTCATGATGATAATGAGGAAAACCTTGCTAAATACTATCCCTGTACCTTATAAACAACCCCCAGGTACAGAGTGCAAGGACTTGCCTCTGGGTCTGTGTCCTTACCAAAGACTCATTATTTCCTCAGTGAAGGTCCTGTTTCTATTTACTTTTTAGAATATAGGAAATGTACAAACTGAAAGGAAGAAGAACCTGACAGATGTAGAGTAGAAAATGCAACAACTGAAAATTCAGGGAATCCCAGAATTACTGGATGGTTAAGAAAAATATCCTTTTTATTAGTATTACGTATGCAAAAATGCTGACTAAAGAATTCTACAGATATATTGTAAATTCTGTGTAGTTATGTGTATATTCACCTAAGTTTATTTTTAAATTTACTATTCTTTAAGTTATTCATTTTCTCTTAATTTGAACATTTAATTTATAAAAACTGCCTGAGTGGTACATCCTAATAAAATTGCAGCTTACGTTAAGTCATATAATTTTATTTGATGATCTGTTGTCTCAGTTATGTTTGATTAGTGGTCATTTGTAGCTTTGGTTCAGAACTTTATAATTGTAGAAGGAAAAGTTTCTAAATGTGTAATAAAGTGAGATCCCAGTGTCTGGGAGCACCAAACATTTCTGAACAAATATATTTGATAAGCATGAAACATGGGTTTGGTTCCACACTGAACATTCTGGAACAGCATTTAAACATATCATGAAGGTTGTTTATAAAAGGATGGAAACTGAGCAAAGCATTGAAGCAGAACTTTTGGCTTGACCAGCATGTTTATCATTTAGTAGTTTACACAGAATGTATTGTTGCATGTAATTTAACGTTAGTGACAGTCAAGGTTTTGGCAGCATGTATTTACAGTCTTATCCCTGGTTCTTACTGGCTTGGTTTCTAACTTAAGAGTGGAGATGGCTACTGTGAGGGGAAAAGTTTGAAGAGGAACAGATTTTTGACTTGTGGTGTCTTTTCTTTTAAATATTAAAAATACAAATCAGCATGTCTTCCCTTTTTATTTTATATACAGTAGAAATGTACTATGAACTGTTAAGACAGCCATTTGTCTGCATTAGCATCATCCAACTTTTTTTGTTAGCAAGCCATTCACTGTTTTCTTCTTTCTTTCTTCTAAAAATTCTGTTGACGTGATGCTTTGACTTGGAATTATAAAGTGATTTCCTTTCTGCCTGCTTCTTTTCTTTCCATGATTACTGAGTAGGTAGCCCATCCTGTCATAGGACGCCCATTGTACTTATACTGATCTCTGCCCTCTGCTAGTGACGTAATCTTAAGTGTCAATTATTTCCTAGAATGCTCAGGCTTCCTGCAGTGAGTTCTTAATGAAACATCTGACCCATTGTTTTAAAAGCTGCTCATTACATGGGGCTGGCCCCGTGGCCGAGCGGTTAACTTCGTGCGCTCCGCTGCAGGAGGCCCAGTGTTTCGTTGGTTCGAATCCTGGGTGTGGACATGGCACTGCTCATCAAACCACGCTGAGGCGGCATCCCACACGCCACAACTAGAAGGACCCACAACGAAGAATATACAACTATGTACTGGGGGGCTTCGGGGAGAAAAAGGAAAAAAAAAAAATCTGTTCATTACCGTTACATGATTAAAAACATGTTCTGTTAGTCAGCTGTAAAAGCATTTATAATATTTATAAAATATCTTAAAATTATATGGTATTCAAATGTTAATTCTTTTATCCTTTTAAACAACTATCAGCATTTTTCCAGTTCCTAGTTCCATCTAATAGTGCCTTTTATGTGGTACAGACTTTGCGATTTCATAAAATAAATTATGTACAACCCAGAAGAGATTATACTACCAAAATTCCTCATTGTCCTATTCTTCAAAAAACAGTAAAATGGGATTATCTGGTGTTTTACCAGGATTCTACCTGATTTTGTGTTTTCTAAATAGACATAGAAAGCAAAGGAAAACATAGTTTCTTTATTACAATGTTATAGTCTCTTTTCATCTCATTAAAAAGTTGATTAGAATTAATAGCTGAGGTTATTATATATGATGTACCTTTCTAACAGACTCCTTGTTAGCTTTAGCAACTAATCTCCTGCAAGGAAGTCAAGAGTTGTTCCCTCTGGTGGGTTTCACAGGTATAAGTCTGCCCACTGCTTGTTGCATTTATATATTTGTTGATCCTTACATCAATATCAAAGGATTGTCAATTCCTTTTCAATTTCTATAAAAATACCTACTGGGATTTTGATTGGGGTTGTGTTAAATTTATACATCAATTGGAGGAGAATGGATATCCTAATATTTTTATTTATTTTTATTTTTTATTTTTCCTTTTTCTCCCCAAAGCCCCCCAGTACATAGTTGTGTATTTCAGTTGTGGGTCCTTCTAGTGGTGGCGTGTGGGATGCCGCTTCAGCATGGCCTGATGAGTGGTGCCATGTCCACGCCCAGGATCCGAACCAGCAAAACCCTGGGCCACTGAAACAAAGCTGGAGAGCTTAACCACTCGGCCATGGGGCGGGCCCCCTGGCTATCCTAATACTGAGTGTTCCGATCTACAAGCGTGGATAAACTCTCCATTTATTTAGATCTTCTTTAATTTCTTTCTGTAATATTTTATAGGAATCATATATCTTTTATTAAAATTATTCCTATGTGTTTTGTTTTATGATGCTGTTATAAATGGTATTGTTTTTCAGTATTATCTTCTAGTTGGTTGTTGCTAGTATACATAGGTACAATTTGGTTTTCTATATTGATCTTGTATTATGAGACCTTGCTAAATTCGCTTGTTAGTTCCAACAGGTTTCCTTCCTTCATTCCTTCGTTTATTCGTTCATTCATTTGTTCCTTACTCCCTTCTTCTTTTTTTGTATATTCCTTGGGATTTCATATTAGGCAATCATAACATCTACACATAAAGGTAGTTTTACTACTTCTTTTCCAATGTTTATGTCTTTTATTACTTTTTCTTGCCTTTTTGTACTGACTGGGGTATGTGATAATGTTGAACAGAAGCAGTGAGAGTGGACATCCTCAACTTTTTTCCTATACCAGAGGGAAAACATTCAGCCTTTTCCCATTAAGTATGATGTTAGTTGTAGGTTTTATGTAGATGA